ACAATTTCATCTTTGAGAACTGTGCTTTGATTTTCAATCAGTCATTTCATTTCCTATTTTATAATGCACAATCTATTCCACTGTTTATGGCTTCTTACTCATCAGTATTACAGGTCCTGTGATTATTTAAGATGCCATTTTGTAAGGCATAAGGCAGGAGAAGAAAGAAAATAATGGAGCCAATTTCATGATCCTGACAAGCTTGGAGCCAGGCCAGTCATCATTAGCAGGAAATCGTCTCATTGCATTTTGTGATTTCAGAGCCTGCGAATTTCATAATGTCCACCAATACCTTATATACATTTAGAGAAGGATTGAGACTGTATATTGTGTTTCGGTTTGAGGATATTTGAGGCATCTGAGCATGCGGGCACATATGTGCATGATGGAAAGAAAGGTGGGAGCCAGAATGTGAGAAACACCCAGGTGCTCTATCTTCCTTGACTCAATTTGTTTCTTACTTGGTTGAAGAACTCTAAATGTAAAATAAACTTGAAGAGATCATTAAAAATTCCCATCCAAAAATGCACTGCTAAGGGACAGAAGGAATGAAAAAGAGAGTAAAATGTGCTGGGTTTGGATGTCACGTTTACAAGGGTGGGCAAAAGTGGGTTTACAGTTGTGAATACACAAGAATTTACTCTTATATTATTATTATTTATTTATAATTATAGTATTATTTATTTGTATTATTTTTTATCCTTACATATGATTTATCTTTTAGGTAATAATGGCTGGTATTTAACCTACTTTTGCCCACTCCTGTATGTATACACACACACACACACACACACACACACACACACACACACACACGTCCCATATCATAATACTGATAACTTTTTAAAGTCTATAATATGAATTTGCCATAGAGACTGGAACAGTGAACATGAAATGTTATTAGCCTAATTCCCAATTTCCAAAAGAATGGTAATAATGGTTGCCCTGCTGACAGGCAGTGTTTAAGGCCATCAATTTGAGGTAATAATACCAGATACCTTAAAAAATACAGTAAGTATATTTTCAAGCAAACAGAAATAGCTACAATATATTGAGCTTATATGTGACTGCTGCTCTTGTGTGTTTTATGTTATCTTATTTGGCTCTATGAGCATTATATATGTTCCTATCATCATTGTACTAATGAAAACACTGGATCCTGGAGAGACTACGTAGCTTGTCTTGTTCAAGGTCACCTAGCTTGTACTCAGCAGAACTGGGATATAAATACTGGTCCATTAGACTCCATACCCAGATATGTTGTATATTTGTATCAGTGATGAGAAATTGTCCAGTTACCCTTACATTTATTAATTTCATTTTAAGAAGTTGCATTTTATGATTCTGAATATGTTTTTAATAATGCATGTTGCCTGGCATTAGTAACACCTCATATTTGAAAACCAATTTTTTAAAACATTTTTCATTTCTTCTTTTAATTCTCACTACAGTGAGAAGGAAGCATTTTAATTCCCATTCTACAACAATAAAAATTGAAATACAGACATGTTAAGTGCTTTGCATAAAGAAAACAATTAATACCTGAGCCAGAATTCAAACTGAAGTCATCTCACTCCACATCCAAAACTTTCATCAATACACAGGTAGAAGCTGGTTTGAGACTGTAGGACTGCTGAAAGAAAAGTGAGAAAAAAAGTAAAAATGTCCAAAAAAACTAAAGTAATTCTCTTTCCATCCCCATTCACCAGAATAACCAGTTTGCTGTGTACTTCTAATGCTTTTTCAAATTAATAAAAATATGTACAATTTAATATAGTTTTAAATTTTTATGTATTTTAAAATACCATCCTACTATAGATATTATTTACAATTAGATTTTTCTCTTTACATTATTCCAGATAAATCATATAGATCTAACTAATCACTTTTCAACATATGGAAGAATTTCCATATGAACATATTTACAACAAGGACAGGAATTCAATTTTGCCGCAACCTGCACGGCTAGGGTTCAGGATCTGAAGAAGGGGCCGATGCACAAGTGAAAATTCTATACAAAATGTATGAATTTAGAAGGCATTGGGGGCCAGGGGTGTCTCTTTCGTGACGAACACACACCGAAATTCTGACCGGTCTGCTTTTTATTCAGTTTTAGATACACATCTTGCCCTCGGTAAAGCACGGCAAACAGGCAGCAGACAGACCATCTCAAAGGTCAATAAAGATCAGTAAAGATCAGTAAACATTTACTTTGAGGCTAGCAGGTCTGGTAATTGCTTCGAGCCACCACTATCTCAACACAGCCCTGCTAAGTCCAAGGTCCATCGGCCTTCAGCATTCCTTGATGCACTCTTAGGACAGTATTGGGAAAGCGGTGGCTTCCCGCACAATTCAACAAATATTTATGGAGCCCTACCATGTGCTGGACTGGGGATATGGCAATGAACAAAACAGACAAAAATGCCTGCCCTTGGACTTTCACAGTTTACCACAGTGTAGCCATCCTACTTTTGTCAATAACAGTTTTAGCATACGTGTTTCTCAATATAACGTATAATTTATTATTTTAAGAAGTTACATAAGTTCTATAGTATGGGCATATAAAAACTTATTCAGCCATTTATTTTTGACATTCAGTTTATTCTTTGTCTTGATTTTTATAATCAATGTTGCAATAAATACCAATATTACACATATCCAGAGTGATGGTGCCTTTATTTCTTCTGAAGGGTAGGTTTTAAAAAGTAGGATTGTTGACTCAAGGGATATAGATGTATAATTTTAAACTTTCAATAAATTCTTCAGATTACTTCTAATAAAAGGTTATAGCGGTTATATTTTTCTACCAACGTCTAACAGTACTGATTTCGCTACATCTTGCCAATACTGAAGTTTAAGTATGTACAGTGTTTGCCAACTCTGTGTTTCCTCCCAGACCTCACCCTAGGTGTGTCTTCATTTGGCTGATCCTCCTAATTGGAATTCTTTATAATAAAACTAATTACAAATATAGCGGAAAAAAATTGCCAAGCTGATAGGCCAAAATAGTTTTAATATTACTGATTTAATTTGCATTCCTCTGGCTCTTCTCCTAGGGAGGGTTGAGCATCCTTACATATGCCTACTGCTCTTCAGGTTTCAAATTAATAATGATTGCTAATATTAGAGCCAGGTACTGAAATGTGCATCCCTCGTTGGTTCTTTATCACAACTCTCTCAGAGAGATAACATCTGCTTCCCCGGCCCACTTTACAGATGAGAAAACTGCTTCCAAGAAATTATGAGATCTCAGGTCACAGGTGAAGTGGTAGAGTGTGGATTTTTAACAAGTCTGACTGCAGGGCTTCTGGGTTGAACAACTACACAAACTGCTTCCGCTGCCAGGAACACTTTCAACGCCTTCCACCCAGTCTGACTCCCTTCCTTCAAGTGGGAACAAGCTGATTAAACTAGCAAATGCTTGAAGGTTTCCTGTACAGAAGACACTGTGATAGACATTATTTGGTGATCTGAAGATGCAAAGTCTTATTTAGAAACCAAAAAAAACCCCAAAAAACCATTATACTAGTATAAGCAACTATGGTGTGATCAGAAAATCTATCCCGTGTCAGGGAAGCAACCATACAGAATTCTGCAGCTCTCCACAATGTAATACTATTCAGAATAGTGTAGGGAATATTGCAAACAACTCCGGAATGAGAGTTAAAACTGATTTATTTTTGTAGAATAATGTAGGAAACAAATCACTTTCAAGACGACGCTACTCCTAAAGAAAAGTGGTACCAGCCCGGGGGGAACAAATACTACCAAACAGACCCGTTCCTACCCACTAGTCCTCCCTAACCGCTTCTCCATCACCCAGGTGTGCTCACCGGTCCTGGTACTATCCACCTGGGTGGTGCTGAAGCAGAAGCTTGCTCTCCGCTCTCGGAAACCATTCTCAATAGAGCCCCAATACCCCAGGTCTCTGCTTGCTTCCAAATCAGGATCTGTCAACCCACTCCTGCCTTGAAGTCTCTCTAATCATACTTAATATGCAAATGTGTCCGGCCAAAGGCTCTGCCGATAATCTTATGGAGGATCCCTCCTGGACATAGTCCACCAACTATGCCTTCCAGACATGCCAGTTGCCTTTTACAGGGTTAATAGCTCACCCATCAAGAACTATAAATATATGTGTGTGATTCATTACCGTGTCATTCTTAAGACAAGGATATGCACAATTAAAATATACACCGCCAGGTGTACCTCCTTGAGTATTGCTTATTTTCTTTCTCTTCATCTTTCCCCTTTTCTCGCGCACATTCCGAATCCTAGCTTGCAGTCCGCATTAGCAGGAACTGCGCCTTTTCTCGGCCATTTCCCCTACGCTTTGGAAAGACTTCTATTTCCTGAAATTTAAATCACTGACTAGCGGGTTCCTGCCCTGCTCGCTTCCAGTCTCCCTTTCGCCTCTCCGCCTCCCCCTTCCAGCCTGGGACCCCATCCGCGAGCAATGGTGTCCACATCCCTGTGCTGCCCGAGGAGGCATCCCCATTCGGAGGTCTCGCTTCTGGCTGTCGTGTCGCTGACCCCCTTCCTCCCAACCCTCTCCATCGACCAAACCCCGCCGCTCTAGGAGGAGCCTAAATATCTCCTCTCCCCTAGCTGCAGGGGATTGTGGTGCGTAAACAGGATTAACTCTCTCGCCCCCAGCCACGCTGATCTACCGGGGGCCTGCAGGCTGGCGAGCCCACGGGTGCCCGGAGGGCGCAGCAGGGGAAATGGGCAGGCTCGGGGCCTCGCAGCTGTCCCTGCGGTGCGCTTCCTCGCCTAGTGGGGCGGGAGGCCACAGCCTCGGGAGCTGCTCCAGAGCCCGTGCGGACGGCCGCGACGGCGAGGGCTACTAGCGGCAGCCTTCCCTCCGCCTCCTCCCCCCTACTCGCGCTTCCTCTCCGCCCACCGCCCTCCAGCCGCCCGGTCACAGCCCGCGCTCTCCTCCGCCCCCCGGAGCCGCCGCGCCCGCCCTGCCGCCCTGTGCCCAGCCATGGGGGACCTGCCCGGCCTGGTGCGCCTCTCCATCGCGCTGCGCATCCAGCCCAACGATGGCCCGGTCTTCTACAAGGTGGACGGGCAGCGCTTCGGCCAGAACCGCACCATCAAGCTGCTCACCGGCTCCTCCTACAAGGTGGAGGTGAAGATTAAGCCCAGCACGCTGCAGGTCGAGTGAGTGCGGGAGCGCGCCAGGGATGCCCGGCCCCCTTGGGGTACGCGCGGAGGACCGAGGCCCCGGGACGCCTGAGCCTCCCGGGCCCCTCTTGGCTCGCGCCGCACCCAGGGGGACCCGGAGGTGGGGGGCAGAAGTCCTGGTTCCCTTGGTCCCCTCCTCTGCCTTACCCTTGCCTTTCCTCTCCCTCTACCCATCGCGGGGTGGGATGTTTAAAACAGCGACAGGAAGCCAGGGGTTCGGGGTTGGTTTTGTTTGTTTGTTTGTTTGTTTACCTGTACATTTCTCATCCCTTCTGTCCAGCCTCCGCGCGGACCCCCAGGCGGCCGGGGCGGTGCAGATGGGTGCAGTTCGCCGCGGAGTTCACCTTCCGCAATCCCGGTCCTCCTCTCCCGTGTCCTGGCGATCCGCCCCGGCCTGCCCACGAGCTATAGGCTGAGGAAGGGAGTGTAAAGGCGGCGGTGGGGTGGTTATTGTGGCTCCCGGAGGACGCCCCCACTCCTCCATCTGCCCTTCGGTGGCTGCGGACGCCGGGCTGGGGGAGCAGCCACAGTCAGAGCGCAGCTCCTGTGCTTGGCCTAAATTGCCGGTTTCCCGTGCCGGGTGTTTTTCTTTTTCTCCTGAGTTTTCTGTTCAGCCTGGTGATGGCGCCTGGGATTAGCAACATCCTTACAACAAAAAGATGTGTTTTTGTGTGTGTGATTTTTTCGTTTACTCGTGGCAGGGATTATCTCTTCCCTGCTACCCCAGCTGATGCACCTAGTAGACCCCTGGCTGGGAGGTCAGTGTGGGAGGGTTCATAGATTATGGGGAAGCATCCAGGGGTGGGGTCCTTTACCTCTCAGCCTCCACCTGATGTGAGGTCTTGCGGGGAAGGAGGAAATAGCCAGCATTTAAATCATCTACCATATACTGAGTTGGGGGGGTGGGGGGGGAGGGTGCTTTGAATCCACCAGAGACCTTTTCAGCCTAAGTGCCCATCTGCAGTCATTAATTCACTAAACTTGTATTGGCCTTCTAGGTGGCAGGCCCTAATTCAAGGACCTAAGACCTTGTTTTTTTCTGGTGCTCCTGGTCCACCTATTTGTCAGCATCTCCCCCGCTCCCCGCCCCCATAGCTTCATGGACCCATTGTCCTCACATTTCCCAGTGTTATCCGTGCATCTCCATGAGACCCAGACGCTTTCTTTCCCCTCTTTCCAAGCAACCTCTTCTCTCAAGTTATCTTTCTCTGTGCCATTTTCTTGAGGGTAGTTCTCTATTTTTCAAGCGAATCTACTAATGAATCTGTGTTAATGACAAAACTATTATTTTCTAGTTAAAATTTAATTTTATCAAGGGGATTTCAATGTCCTAATCCAGTGGTTCTTGAACTTGAGTCAGAATCACCTAGAGGTCTTATTAAAACACAGAGGGCTGAGCCCCACCCTGGAGTGGGGGCTTAAGAGTTTGCTTTTTAATAGGCTGTCAAGTGATCTGATATTGGTAGTTCAGGACTATTTGAGGGCCATTACCCTAACAAAGGAATGGGTGGCTTAAACAACAGTGAGAATGTCGGGTGTTGTAGCTGGCTTGAGGAAGAGTACTCCAACTCATGGGATCCGTGATTGGTGGAACAGAAAAATCATGAGAGAACTAGTTTAGTAGTTCTCAACCTTACCTACACATTAGAATCACCTAGTGAGTGTTAAAATAGATTTACCAGTGCCCAAACCAGACCAATTGAATTCTTCTCTGGGGTTTGGGATGGGGCTGGGTATAGGTAGGTTTTTAATAGCTCCACAAGAGACACTACAGAGGAGGACCACTGCTAACATCTGGCTTGGCCTGTACCCGTATTCTAGATGAGAATACTGTCCATCCAGAGAGATTAGGTAGTTGGCCTAAGATTACATGACTGGTTAGTTGGAGAACTCAAGCCTCTTGAATTTTCAGAACTTTCTAGCACACCATAATGTCTTCTTTAGCCACACCCTGTAGGTTTCCTGCCTAGGGCTGTGGTCAAGACCAAGAAAGGGTACCTAAGCTCATTCCTACCACATGTGCTCAACTCAAGTCCATTGCAGGAACATTTCCATTGGTGGTGTGGTCGTCCCACTGGAACTGAAGTCGAAAGAGCCTGATGGGGACAGAATTGTTTATATGGGCACATATGACACAGAAGGCGTGGCCCCAACCAAGAGTGGAGAACGACAACCCATCCAAATCACCATGCCGGTAAGGCCTGCTTGGTGTTTGGGCAAATAGCAACTACAGAAAAGAAAACAATCACTATCTCCCCTTAAGAAAAGGTATAAAATGAAATATTTAAACTCATGGTTTCATATTAGAATCTATTTGTCCCTAATGTCCCAATATAATTAATTAAATAATCCATACTTTTCCAAAGGTCAGTTTCAAAGTAATTTTTTATATGGGAATAATGTTAAGGCCCTTTTTACATTTTCTAATCTATTCCATTGATCTGTCTATTCTTATGCCAGTACTGCATTGTTTTAAATATGTTGCTTTTATGATATGTGTTCATGTATTTTGTAACTGGCCACCTTACTAAATTTGCATACTAAAAATTTTCAGTTAATGATCTTGTGTTTTTCAGCTAGAAAAGCATAATCTACATATAAGTGCATCATTTTCTGATTTCTTTTTCCTCCACCGTATTGCATTGGCTGATGTTTTTAGAATAATTTTGCATGCCAGTGTTGGTAAAAGGTAGCCTTGTCTCCAGAGTTACATTGTTAGGTACAATGTTAGTTTCAAATATCTATTATGTTAAAGCATCCTTTTTCTAGGTCACTAAGAGGTATTTTTAAAATTGGGAGGTGTGTGAAATTCCATCTAATTTCTTTTCCTGTCTATGGAGATAACTTATCTTCTTTGATATATTAATATAATAATCACATAATACACTTTCAAATGCTAATATAACTTTATTTCCTAAAATAAGTCCTACTTTTAAACATCATGTATGATTCTTAATATATTGCTCAGTTCAATATGCTCATATTTTATTTCGAGTTTTTAGATTTTTATTTTATGAATTTTTTTTATTTTTTTGGTTTGTCAACAAATAAATATATGACGATTTCCTATATGTTAATATGGGAGAAGAGTGGTAAACAAAATATACATTCCTGGCTTTACAGAGTTTCTAATCTAGAGGAGCAAAATGTAATTATACATGATTATCAATAATAAAGCAAATTATTTTTATTATATAAAGTGTAGTGAAAAAATAATGGTGCCTCTGAAGCACATACCAGGACTCTAATCCTAGTTTAAGGTTGTGAGGATGGCTTTCTTTTTTTAAAATATATTTTTATTGATTTCAGAGAGGAAGGGAGAGGGAGAGAGAGATAGAAGCATCAATGAGGAGAGAGAATCACCTATCGGCTGCCTCCTGCACGCCCCTTCCTGGGGATCAAGCCCACAACCCGGGCATGTGCCCTTGACGGAATCAAACCCAGGACCCTTCAGTCCTCAGGCTCTATCCACTGAGCCAAACCAGATAGGGTGAGGATGGCTTTCTTAAAGGAAGAACTAAAGAATGAATCAGAGTTTGAGGAAGAGGGAGCATGTGAGGGAAGAAGAGGGGCTTGGAATCCAGTGGGAATTAATAGATCACACTACACTAAAAGTCACAGGTGCTTTTTATACTGAATTTACTTGGTAATGAAGTAACATCATGTTTTTATCAATATAATTAGTTTGTTCTGTGTTCCCAAGTCAATGGATTTCTGAATGACCTTATCAATAACTTGGTGAATTTCACATATCCCAGTGGAGGTGGGTGGCATAGGGAATGCAGGGAAGTTCTCTGGGGATTCTAGACCAACTGGTGGTAAGACCACAGAAATTGGGGTTTTTTTGTTTGTTTGTTTTGTTTTTTAAATATATTTTATTGACTTTTTACAGAGAGGAAGGGAGAGGGATAGAGTTAGAAACATCGATGAGAGAGAAACATCGATCAGCTGTCTCCTACACACCTCCCACTGGGGATGTGCCCACAACCAAGGTACATGCCCTTGACCGGAATCGAACCTGAGACCCTTCAGTCCGCAGGCCACTCTATCCACTGAGCCAAACCAGCTAGGGCAAGACCACAGAAATTGTTTTAAAAAGCTCTTCAGATTACTCATTTATTACTGGGGACAACAAATGCATCTTCTCTTCTTGGAATCTGGTGGGCTCTCTTTCACATTAGTTGTGAAATTAAAATGTACCAAGGCTTGCAACTTTTAAGGACACTACAGCAAATATCCAGGTGTACAGTGGAATGTAAACTGTAGAATACAGTAGACGGGGTGGCTTAAATAACAAACATTTATTTCTCACAGATCTGGACGCTGGAAGTCTAAGATCAAGGTGCTAACAGATCTACTGAGAGCACTCTTCCAGGTTCATAGAAGGCTGCTTTCTTGGTGTGTCCTCACATGAAGGAGGAGAGAGAGAGAGAGAGAGAGAGAGAGAGAGAGAGAGAGAGAGAGAGAGACATCCTATTCATGGGAGCTCCACCCCCAGGACCTCTGAAAGGCCTCCAAATACATTTTTAATTTAGGCTTGGATATTGGATAAATTCAAACACTCAGTCCATAGCAGTGTTAAAGGATCCAACAGGTAACAATCTGTGTATGTTCTCACTGAAGGAGAAAAAAGAAACCACTGATGATCAACTTGTAGCTCTTTTCCTTATATGAGCAGCTTGGTGCAGTGACGATAGTTCCTAGATAGGAATTAGGACAGCTAGGTTCTTGGCCTGCTCCTGTCATTAGCTGCTGCCTCATCTAAACCAAGAGAAAGTCACTTCACCTCTCGAATCTTAGTTCTTACCTTCATAACATGGAGATGTTAAAACCCATCACAAGACCAATGTGGAATGACATATGTGAAAGTGTTGCATAAAATAAAGAGTACTGCCCTGACTGGTTTGGCTCAGTGGATAGAGCGTCGGCCTGTGGACTGAAGGGTCCCAGGTTCGATTCCGGTCAAGGGCATGTATCTTGGTTGCGGGCACATCCCCAGTGGGGGGTATGCAGGAGGCAGCTGATCAATGTTTCTCTCTCATCGATGTTTCTAACTCTCTATCCTGCTCCCTTCCTCTCTGTAAAAAAAATCAATAAAATATATTTAAAAAATAAATAAATAAAGAGTACTATACAAATGCACAGAATTACACCCTTGTATAAACTGCATCACCCAGGGAGCCTGCCTGGGTAAATTTTCCTTGGAAGGCACAGATGGGTTGAGAGGGAATAGAGAGTCTATGTAATTTCTTCTGTTCTTCAAGAAGAATGTCAGCTTTTAAAACTCCATCTGTTCTTAGCCAGAGGAGCAGAAATTCTGAGCTAGGTAGTGAGATGCCCAGAAAATAGAACTCCAGAAGAAAGAACAAGAAGGAAGAAGGCTAATGAGAAGTTAAAACAACTAAGGCATGATAAGCACCGGTTAAGTTTACTACAACATGCCTGTGGGTGCAACATCAGTAAAGGAGAAACAAAATTGACTATGAAGCATCTCATGTGCCATTTACTGAGCTATGACTATTGCTGTCAGCAGATTTCTATTTTGCTCTCTTGGGCTACTGAGACTTCGTTAGTTTTTAAGGTTATTCAGACATAAGTTTTTTCTTACCTGTTGTTATAATCAGTTTGTTTTTTTAAAACCAAGTTTTGTGTTTATTTTTTTAAAAAAGGCCTCAGCATTGTTTCTTCCACTTACCTAGCATGGTTTCAGGCTTCTTCTCTCAAAAGATCAGCTAGTGTTTGTAAAATATCTTTATAATTTAACTTAACTCAATTGCACTTAAAATGTGTAATGCCCTGTGCTGGTCAAGAATAATAAGTAGCCGAAACCGGTTTGGCTCAGTGGATAGAGCGTCGGCCTGCGGACTGAAGGGTCCCAGGTTCGATTCCGGTCAAGGGCATGTACCTGGGTTGTGGGCACATCCCCGGTGGGGGGTGTGCAGGAGGCAGCTGATCGATGTTTCTCTCTCATCGATATTTCTAACTCTCTATCTCTCTCCCTTTCTCTCTGTAAAAAATCAATAAAATATATTTAAAAAAAAAAAAAAAAAGAATAATAAGTAATACTAAACCCTCTTCAAGTGAGTTGGTGATTTACAAAACAAAATTTCATTTTATTGTTGTTAGTAACCTATTGTACATAAATTTTTAATATTTTCATTAGCGTATATGTATCCTTCATAGAATTTATAAAATCCCTAGGATTTGAGAAATACATGTTAATTTTTCAGGGATGATAAATCCATTTCACCATTTAAAATATTCTTTCTGATTATGAAAGTAACATATATTGCAAAAAATCTGAGTAGGAAAGATAGAAAAACCACTCAATTTTTTTTTTTACTTAGAATTACATTATTAATATGTTTTCATTTTCCCCCATATATCTTATTTTATGGATTTGCACTCATACTGTATATAAACTGTTTTTATCCATCTTTTTCCTGTTGGCATTGTTCTAATCACTTTCTGACATCATTTACAACCCTATATCATGGTTATACAGAGGGGGTAAAAGTAGGTTTTCAGTTGTTTGTAAATAATACAAAAATAAACTGTTTCGCATGCTCACAACTGTAAATCTACTTTTACCCCACCCTGTATAAATCCATCATATTCCACAATTTTCATAATATTTTCCTTTTATTAGATGCTTAGCTTCTGGTATTTAGAAATGTTTGCTAAATTGACAGGTCAGTAATATCTTTGTAAAAGTATATCGCTTAAATTAATAAGTATATTTGAATATCTTCAGATATTAGACATTTTTTCTTTTTAATGACCTGTGTTCCAGTTTTATACAAATGTTCACATTTTTGGTACTCTAAACATTATGATAATCTTATGAAAAATTACAGGTGGAGTTGCTGAACCCAAGTATATTCAGAACCTTTAATTTGATACAAATTACCTTTCCAAAGGCTATATAACTCAGTTCCCATTGGCAGTATTTAGAATAGCTGTTTCTTTGTAGCGCACTAAAAAGCAATATTTCTATTTCTAATCCACTTTGCGGTATAGTTTACATATAATAAATATAAGCATCTTAAGCACACTGCTTAGTAAGTTTTGACAAACATATACATATACTTCTATAACCACCACCACAATCAAACATTTTCATCATCCCAAAAAAGTTCCCTCTTGCACATTTTCATCCATCATCATCCCTTCCTCCCACCCCAGGCCCTGGGTAACCACAGATGTTCCCTGTCAGCTTACATAATATCCTACCACTATAGATTATATATATATATAGTTTTATATAAATAGAATCATACAGTATGTATTCTTTGGGGTCTGGATTCTTTTGCTCTGCAAGTCTTTGAGGTCCAGATCCAGTCTTGTCTCTGCCTGAGTCAGTATGTTCCCTTTGTTGTTGAGTAAATGCCATTTGATAGATATGCCAACTATTGTCTGTCATCAGGTGAATGATCCCAGTCTGGGGCTATTATAGATAAAGCTGTTGTAGACTTGCATAGGTCTTTAAGCCATGACTCTCTAGACAGAGATACTTTATTTTTCTTACCTGGGAGTAGATTTTCTGGATCCTAGGTAGATCCTCCATCCTTTCAAGTCAAGCAAACTGCCCAAAGGAAAGCCAGATCTTGTTTGGGGAATCAAATTAGCAGGATGAGGCCATCGTGCAGGATATACTTTTGAGAGCATCTTGGAAAGCTATCTGGGAAGCACCTGACCACCCTTATCCTGTCGCAGCCACAAGCAGAAGACTCCTAGCTCTCACTGCCCTCCCCCTTTCTGTCTTCTGGCTCCTGACAAGTCTAAGAATCCTGCCAAGTCAGTCCCTGTCCCCTCCCATGACAAGGGAGGGTCAGCGGATAAAATAACGACAGGCATCACGCTGTTTAATGCCAGATCCCCTAAATAGCTCCAGGAGGTGGTAGCTGGGTCAGGCTACCCCACAGGCCACTTGAGCACCTGCCCAGTGGCCTCTGGGGTGTTCTGTGCCCTCATCTCAGCGACATGAGAATCATGGGCTTATGGTTCCGGAGAATTCTGTGCAGTGACTTGCAGGGCCTACCTTCTGAAGTAGAATGCAAACTTCTTTTCTTAATTTAAATTCTTTATTGTTTAAAGTATTACATATAGAATGCAAACTTCTTGAGATTAAGAATAATGCCTTATACAAGTTTTTTATATGTGCAAAGCACCTAGGAGGTACTCAAATATGGTTTTGATAAGGTATAATCAAAGCCTGAGGCATGGCCATGGATCTTGACTTCTAAACACTAGGTAGTAAGTAATATTTGAAAGTTAAAAGAGGGTCTTTAACTATCAAATGCTTCCAATCACATCACTTTTCTTGGAATTAAAATTGATGATGGAAGGGCAGTTGTATCTTATGTTGTGCTTGTGTTATTTTGGACAGCTGTCTTTTGAAATAGAAACCAAAAAACAACCATTAGACATTATGCCCTCTTCTCTTCCCAATCCCCCTTTCTGTGGCAAATGCTAAAATTCTGAGATTCTCAGAGCGGTTCCCAGAAATTAAATTTGGAACACAGATACATTTTGTGAAGGTATTTTTACTAAAGACAATATGATAGCGCATGCCACCCACACGCTGGGATAAGATTTCATAGAGGGAAAAAATGGTTTACAGACAGTTTTTCAGGAAAATATCTCCCATCATAAAGGAAGATAATTCATTAAAGGTCTAAGCTTTGCTGACCCACAGAGCCTTGGTTGCTTATCCTGGGTGATGGAAGACCTTACTCACGTTAGCTCTTGCCTATTGCTCAGGGAAGAATGGGGTTTTTATGGGGCGTGTTTCTCTCCCCTCAGTTCACTGACATTGGGACCTTCGAGACGGTGTGGCAAGTCAAGTTCTACAATTACCACAAGCGAGATCACTGCCAGTGGGGCAGCCCCTTCTCGGTCATTGAGTATGAGTGCAAGCCCAACGAGACGCGCAGCCTCATGTGGGTGAACAAGGAGTCCTTCCTCTGAAGATGGCTCTTGCTGATGTTGCTGGACAATCGCTTCCGAAATCTATTCTTAGATAACCCAGCACAAGCCTTCACCAAGGCACACCACTCCGTTGCTGTTTCCCGTCGGTGCCAATGACCTACTGGCCCCGATTATTTGGAAAGTGTAATTCCCCTCTGATGCAATGTCCCCGACAAAGGAACGTGATGTGCCCGCCCGAGAAGATCCCTTTCTGTGTTCTGTGCCGGTTCCCTGCATCCAATTGTTCTCGGTCGTGCCGTTGGCCGCTCGCGAGGACCTCCGTGGCATTGGCAGGCGAGTCCCATATTTCACGGTTCCACGGAGTGGCCGTGGTGTTTTGTTTCTAAGTTGAGTGATCCCCCCTTCTTTGTTAGCCTTTACCTAAAAAAAACCAATGTGTGTGGGTTCTTTCCCAAGTGTAACATGGTAACGTGTAACTTGCAATGTTGTGCAACTCTCAGAGCAGGCTTTGTGAACATGTGATGCAAACAGCAGGGAATGGGACTCAAGTGGGCTTCCTGTGCACAGCTCAGCTTTTTCAGGGAAGGGAGATGACAAAATAAAAGGAGAGCTATTGAACGAGTATTCATAGTGTGTTTATGATCATAATGTGTTTAAACAGTTTCAGGTACCTTAATTGTGCTGTGACGGAGTGGCGATGGGGAAAGGCAGGGTGTGGACCACTGTTAAACAAGGCGACGGCAGTTACAGGGTCATCTCCTTGGCCAGCTGCCCTAGTGTCCAGACGTGCATATTGACGCCATTCCCACCCTCTCCTCCACTTGAACTTTGTAAAACTGTGTATGGAACTGTAATCAACTTTTGATATTTCTTAATAAAGGTGTTGAAAATCATACTCTGGCTTACCTTCTTAATTTGGGCAATACCTATTCGTCAGGTGGACCTCAGCTCCAGGCCAGCGCCAGCCCAGGTCTCCGTCTGCACTGCAGGGGAGAGAGGTAGACCTGGACTAGAAGGAGCATACTCACTCAAAGGTCAACTCTGACCATTCCACCGGCATGCTCCAGCCAGCCCTCGCTGGGCTAATGTAGGCTCGGGCACTTGGTGGGCAATCAAAAAGTGCTTGTCCCTGTCCTTTCTCCATTCCGCCTTCCGTGGTGACCACTCCGTCATCAGCAGGCTCCGTAGCTGAGCAGCTTGAGGGCTGGGGCTGTGATAGTATGTGCCCACCAGGGTGGACACCTCCTTGCCTGCTCCCAGGGCACTACAGGTTACCTGGCACAAAGCCCACCCTCCATGAAGGATGAATCCCTAGGAAGGAAAAAAAAATCCTTTTGAAAAGTAACAGACTTCCCTGGCTGGTGTGCTCACTGGTTAGAGCATCAGCCTGCACACCTAAGGGTCTGGGGTTCTATTCCCGGTCAAAGGCATGTATCCGGGTTGCAGGTTTGATCTCCATCCCCATCCCGTCGGGTTGAAGCAACCAATCAATGTGTTCTTCTCACATAAATGTTTCTTTCTCTCTTTCTCTCTCCCCATCTCTCCCTCCCATCCACTGTCTAAAAATCAATAGAAAAAATATCCTTGGGTGAGGATTTAAAAAAGAAAAGTAACATACTGCTTTGCAACAGTATTCACCTGGCAAGCACAAATCCTACTGTGTTAGAAAAAGTTAATTGGGGGTTTGGTTTTTTGCTACCTGTAAACCCTTCGTGTAAGAATATGCAAGGTTAATAGGAGTATTAGAAAGAGTCCGTTTATTGCAGAACTGAATTTAGAGGGCTGGCACCAAAACCCTTTCCACCTTTGTCACCTGCCTGCAATGAGGCTGTGCTGCCAGCAGGGCACAGCACTGCCTTGGATTTGGGCTAGTCTTGAATTGGTTTAGGAGAGCAGTACGTTTCTCAGTCTGCTTGTTTTTTGAAAATAATAGTGTCTATTACAACTGCTGATAAATATAAGCATTAGCCCATTCCTAATTACTGTGATTTTTTTATTGATTTTGGAGAGGAAGAGAGAGGGACAGAGAGATAGAAACATTGATGAGTGAGAAATGTTGGTTGGCTCCCTCCTGCACAACCCTAACTGGGGATTGAGTCCACAACCCAGGCATGTGCCCTGACCAGGAATCGAACCGGTGACCTCTTGGTGCATGGGTCGATGCTCAACTACTGAACCACACTGACCGGCCTAATTACTGTGATTGTAAAAGCCAACACTCAATTATTTACACAGACACTGAGGTATTTAAAACAATGTATTTACTACAGACAGTGGCTTAAGTTTTCTTCCAAAATATCCAATAGAAGTGTAGTGATTAGAAGGTATGGAAATATGAAAACCACATGTTTTAATCTAATGAAGTATGTGATTAGTAAATATTTTCACTTGTGAAACAAGCTAGTGATCCATCAGAGCTTTAGCATTTGTTGTGAGGGATGGAAGCAATATGGCTTTTGCAATAGTCCCATGGCCTTTAAAAAAGAACTACAGGTCCCCTAGCCTGTTTGTCTCAGTGGATAGAGCATTGGCCTTGGACTAAAGGGTTCCAGGGTTAGATTCCCCTCAAGGGCACATAGCTTAGTTGCAGGCTCCTCCCTGGCCCGGGGCCTGGTCAGACTCATGCAGGAGGCAACCAATCTATGCATTTCTCTCACACAGATGTCTCTCTGTGTCTTTCCCTCTCTCTCCCACTCTCCCCAAAAAGCAATGGAAAAATATCCTCGGGCGAGGATTAACAAAACAAACAACAACAGCAACAAAATATAAAAATAAAAAACAAGTGGTTTTGATTTTTTTTAATTTATTGATTGACTTTAGAGAGAGGGGAAGGGAGAAAGAGAGCAACATCAATTTGCTGTTCCACCTATTTATGCATTCACTCATCAGTTCTCTATGTGCAACCGCAGTACACAGGGATTTGGGGGTTTGGAATGATTTGAGGCAGAGCAGGAGGAAACTGCACACACTGTCCCCCAGAGGAGCCGGAGGGTGAGCCCTGGACGGGAAGCTGGAGCAACCAAGTCCCACCAACACGCTGGCTGAGCCTAAGTGCTCATTTCACCTTTCTATGTCTCAGTTTGCTTGTCTCCAACACAAGGAGTTAGGCTATGAAAATTCTAAAGCCCTCTAAGATTTAGAGTTTTTACCACTATTTCATCATCCTTTTTTTAAAAAAAGTGTGTGTGTGTGTGTGTGTGTGTGTGTGTGTGTGTTCCCTTGGGGCCAAGAGATAAGGCTGAATCAGGTAGATGGGGCGGAGAGGGAGATGAAGTAAACAGGAAATCTTAACAGCTAATCTGTCACATTAAGTGATCTCTCCTGGCATATACTGTTCCACTTATGGTTGGACTCCAGCCCAGTGTCTCTGGCTACTTCTCGCTCAGCTCTCCTCCTGCTCCAAAACCTGAGTGCTCAGCTATATCAAGCTGCTGAGTTGTAACTTTGCCCCTCAGCCATCTGGAAGGGCTATTTTTACACAAGTTGTAGCCACGTCTCTCTACTTCGAAGCATCAGATGGCTACCCAGAAGCTTGAGGAACAAGGCCATCCTTCTAATTATGTTGGTGACTAAACCCCTTCGAACAGGTGGGAGAGTAGAAATGCCTTGAATTTGTATTTTGTCACTCCTGGCTTACTGAGAAGTCACTCACCCAGCCATCTAAACTATCTGGACCACAGCCGA